GCCGTTCCCTAACGGGTACTTTACGCGGATTCGCGTTAGCGTGCCAGGCCTGGACTTTAAGCATGCACCGAATTAAATAATGACAAAGTTTGTCAATAACAAAAATCAAATATTTAATTAAACTTCTAGTAATAAACTATATACAGTATTTAGTAAAAATCAAACAATAATTTATTCAATGAAATTCAACAAGAATCAACCCGACAAACTCAAATCAATCTATTTCTAACTTAATTCTATTCCCCTTTGGAATTCGACAAAAATCAAAGACTTAACTTATAAACAATAATTCTTATAAATTAAAGATCCTAATCGTCACCTCAATATACTAGGAACCTATTTCCTCAAACTCTCAAGACTTTCTATAATCGTCGATCCATAAATTGAATAACTTCAAAATCGCCTTGGAACTATTTGATCCTATCGGACACCTCTCTCGTTCACTGCTACGAAGCTCACCAAAGCTCGTTGCTATCAGGAGTTCACCTCGTTCATCTTCACTTGAGACTCGGGATTTATAGTGTGAGGTGATGTCACAATTCTGAATGAGATCACTCTCCTCATTTACATACTTAACGCTAACAATAAACTTTTTTCGTTTGTCTGGCAGCCTATTTTCCGACAATACTCTCTAACCTTTTACATTATTCTTTTTCACAATTTTCGGGACGTTTTTTTATTCTTTAAGGTTTAGCGAGTCCCTAATTCGTGCTTGTGGGTCCCCCCCCTTTTCGTCGGTGCGGACTTACTTTTTTCTGCTCGGGAAGCGCAAGTGTGCGCGAGTTTTTCTACGGCGCTTTTCTTTTGTCGGTGAGTTGGTTTTTCTTCTATTTTTTTTAAGTTACTAAGGTGAATGGTGAGGAAACCTTCGTCCTAACAAAACATAAGCCCCAAACAAAAAATAGAATAATAAGCAAAATAAAAGTAAATAAAAATAACGTTCGGACTTGGTTCCTTACAGGCTGACGTTTGGTCCTGCAGCAAATGACTGATCGAACAGTGGGAAAGACTCATACTTTCTAAAGCACATTCCTCAAGAATTCCAGCTTAACCTATTTGATGTTGAATATTTTCTTTGTCGCATGTCGCTCCACGTTGAATATTTTTCGATGTTAAGCCTAACACGATCATACGTTTTAGAAAAATAATAATTGTGGCTATCATATTATTCCGAATTACTTTATATTTCTTACACACAAAATAGGCATATTAGGGAATGTAAAATATTTATTTTAAAAGTTAATTTTAGGGTGATATATCTGAAAACAAGGTACAACACACAGTAGAACATTACACTGTACAGTACACATTGATAATGTGATTCTGCACGTTTTTTGTTAGCCGAACATACTTTACATACTCTGGATGGATGCTTTTTTTTCTCTGTAGGTGGTATGAGACTAGGAAAATGCCATTCGGATAAACATAACAGATTTTCATGTGATGGTCAACAGCAGCGGGGTAGGTGTCTGCTTGTGTGATAGAGAAGTATCACACAAGCAGACATTTACTTAGCTTCTCTGATTACAGACGTACAAAAATCTAGAAATGATATTTGTTTTTTCGTATGTTTTTGATATAAAATACAAGCATTATATAATGTAATATCCATCATATGAAAAAAAAACTTTTGTACCATTTTACTGTTTTTCTCATGCACAGATAATTGTGTATTACTCTGTCACAGAGATCAATACCACCCATGTTGTGATTATAATCCAAAATACAATTTGGTTTCCTTATTATTTCCCCAGATCTGTCACATTTACCCGAATCAGAGAATTTGTTGTTACTCATCATACTTAGAATTGCCACATCCCCTTTGTCTTTTCAGCAGAACACAGACAATTCATCTTTCTGACAGGTGATAAATTCCCCTTCTTTCAATTTATGATCAGGAAAATTACGTGACATGCCTATCCGCGTACAGTTCCACGTATATAAGTTTTTTTGTCTGGAAGTGTTTTCGCTAAGGTCGGTGAGGTAAAAATCCTATCAAAAACACCTTGTGATATTTACCGAACAACAGTTCTAATAAGGTCAGCACAACCTTCTCTCCTTGCCAACCTTCAAAATTTCCATATTCAGTAGTAGCTCCGGTATAAACTATAAAGTCCCAAACATATCCTGTTTGTGACTCACAAATTTCGAAGCTTTTCATTCCAAAACGAGCATGCTTATTCGGTATGTATTGCCTAAATCCCAGTCTCCCTTTCCATAGCATAAGACTTTCGTCTACAAAGATATTTTCCTCTGGGAGATATGCATTTTTGAACTTGTGGCATAAATGATCGATAATACTGCATAATTTATGCAGTCGATCATCACCACCTGAGGTTTGATTATTGTCCATAAAATGCAGACAGGACAATAAAAGTTGAAAGTGGTTGCTCGACATCGCACTTGAAAAAAGAGTGTCAAAAAAAGATCTTTGATCGTAAAATACATGCTTAGGCGCGGTTTTCTAATTATGCTTATGACCATTATAAGTCCTAGAAATTCTCTAATTTCTGGATTTGTCGTTGGTTTCCAGTTTTTTATCCGACTATTCTCTCGTAAATTGTCACAGTTTAGCAAACTATCACCATACCTGTTTGTTTCTGAAACAATCTTGTCGGCAAGTTCATCATCGAAGAATATACTGAAACAGTCGAACAGTATAGCATCACTCCGTAGATTACATAGTATTCCTGATGGTCCCGTAAAACTGTTCACTTGAGGACGTCTGAAATTTGTACGAATCCATTCATTGTCCATCCCCAATCGTGGACGTTTAGCAGTATTACTTTTAGTATTGCCGTGTGATTTACCATCTACGAGTAGATGGTAAATCATGATCAAAATCACCACTGTCATTACTTACATTTTGATCTGGTATGTAATCATCGTTGCTATCTGGAAATTCAGATTCATCAGAACATAAATTGAATAAATATTTGATAACTTCTGACTTATTTAGAGTGCTGTGTCTACTACTTGCTGCCATGTCGAAAGACAGAGACGAAGTGGTCTGATTTTCTTTGTGATTTCTAACAAAGAACTATTTTTAGAATTTCGATAACCTGCTGAGCAGAAACTAGTTAACATAACGGTTCTTCTGATATGCGTTACTTATTTCAAAACAACATACAAGTAGCGACATCTGATGTTTAAAAAACGTTCTGATGCAAACACAAAAATATTCGGGATTGCCCACGCAGGTCAATGAGGTCAACACGAATATTTTCGGGAACAACATTCAACGGGTTTGAATAGTGTTTCATATAAATGATCTCAAAGTCATTGAAGTGTTCTACCATCAATGCTGAACTCTATTTGGGAATATCTAGTGCTGAACTAGTCACAAAGTTTACTGGGTATTTTCAGTGCAACGATCCTTTAATACATAAACTTTATAGTGAATTGCTTACTCTGGTCTAAAGAAAATTCAGCATGATGAAGAGGAGAAAATGAGAAGTGCAGAAACTGCAGCACGACTTAAACAAAAGAAAATCATCTTTTAATTACAAATTTTTTTAACAAGAAATCAAAAAATGTACCTTGAAATAAATGGCATTTGAAATTTGACATGTTATATGGAGACACATTCTGGTAGTTATGTTTCTCTTCAATTTCCTTTGCTATATAACGGTAGGAACTTCGTACGGGGCACATGAAAACTTAATGCAGTCTTACTGATCACTTTTCTGAAGTATAAACTCAGCCTAACTATTTTCATATTTAATTTATTCAGTCTAGTTAAAAATCAATCTAATATCATATGCAATGTTATTGATACAAAATGTGTGTGTGTTTGTATGATTTTTTAATAGTCTTTTAGTTTACTTTAACACTATTAGCTTTTTTCAGTGTAAACTCTTTTTTTTCACTGCTATGACTGTTTTAAGCCCTGTTATTTAATTAAATTATAATTATTAAATTTAATACAAGATGGCACCTAACGGCTCCCTCTAGGTCAAATTAATTAGTAAATAAAATTATAATTGCCGAAAAATAGCCTGATCATATATGACAGTTGGTGTGGTTTTATACTAAGGAATCGGGTTTGGAAAGATGTTAGCACAGATACAGATGTTTAAATCTGTATCTGTGCTAATATTATAAAGAGGTAAAGTTTGTAAGTTTGGATGTAGGAGGTAATCTTCGAAACTACTCATCCAATTTCAAAAATTCTTTCACTAATATTTAGAATGGCAGCCTATGTCCACCTTCGGGGTGGACATAGGCTGTCATTCTAAAGTTCTATTATTATATAAATGTCTATTATTCTGTTAAACATTCATATAAATTAAAAGACATCATCTAGGTAAGCGTTATATTTTTGGTGTCAGCGGGTGGAGAGGGGCAAGACGCATATGTATACGAGGTAGGTGACTGCGCGGTACAGTCACGTGGTCAGTGAGATATGCAGTGTACATGTTTGAACTTGTGCTGAACATTTGCCTATTTGTTGTTGCTTAAAATAATGAATATCTTTTGTCCCATATGCGTTCCTAAAATATTCATATAAATTAAAAGATATCATCTAACTGATACTGTTATAGTCACAAATTGAATTCCATACGGGCGAAACTGTGGGCATGGCTAGTGCTTTATATTTTGATCAACCCTTTATTTTTGGTTTATTATATTTCAGTATATTAAACCAAAAGCCTAACATTTGCAGTGTCATTAGGGAAAGCCTATACATGCATATTTTGTATGTTGTATAAGGCTTGTGTGTTGGTTATTTTTTATTGCTGAATCATTTAGCTATACTATTGTTCTCCTTTATAATGTACTTTGTTTTCCTTCAGTAACATTAAATAATAATTTTTTTGTAGTTTTTTTCATTAATAATATGTTTTATTTAAAATGCAATATAATTTTTATTTATATGATATTTAATCTGTCTCTTCCATTCATTTATTCTTAAAATATTAACTTATATTCAATTAATTCAAAAAATTTAAAAATTTTTATTTATATGTTGTTAAAGTCAAATTGTGTATTATTTTCAGTATAAATGGTGTGAGTCCAAAACCACGTAAGGTATTGCAGTTATTTCGTTTACGCCAGATCAACAATGGAGTGTTTATTAAATTAAACAAGGCTACTATTAATATGCTTCGTATTGCAGAACCTTACATTACTTGGGGGTATGTATAATTCAATTTTGTTTTCATTTACAATACATATGTTATAAATTATTGATATGAAATTTTTGTATTTTTATAATTTTTGACTGGTCAGAATTAATTAGTTCAGTTTAATCAAGAATTTATTTTGAGTAAAAATGAAGGATCAGAGAGAAAAACAGCTTATGTCCTTTCTATTTTTATACAGTGATACCCCAAACTTATGCGATAGGTGGGACCGAGCGATAACCGTGTAAGTCGGGGTATAATTTCGCAATTTGTGTAAAACCCAAGTTGGATGTATGTAAGCTGATAAATGTTCTCGTTAATCTTATCTCGTCTTTTGATTCGTTCACAGTTAGAAGAAATCACCACATAGAGTTTCTCAAGTCTCCGTAGATACAACAAACACAGAAATAAATAACACAAAATAAATTGTGGCTATGTGTCGATTCCACACGACACGTCTGAACATGTAAGCCGAACAATAGTGTGGAGGGATTGAGTAATCAAGAGTTGCTTGGTGCTCAAACAAAAGACGAATTGACGAGATTTGAAAATCGCGTAACTCCGGGTTCGTGTAAGTCGAGGTATTACTGTATTTTGTGCACATTGATAATTGAAAATTAATACTAAATATTAATTTTACTAAAAAATATAGAATTGTACTCAGCAAATTATTTAATGATTTGAGAATTAATGATAGAAGAATTTGGACTTAATAAATTTTCCTAACTTTATTATTCATATTATCAACTGATAACATGAATAATAATTAATGTCAGGAAGTTTAGTAAAATAATTATCTAGGTTCTTCTAAGTTAAATTTATTTATTCCAAATTAACTAGTTTTAATGTTATCAATATATGATATATCTACAGTAGAGCGTGGGTTATCCGAAAGAATTCCAGTTAGCAAATTTTAATATTCACTAGTGCTGTGGCGCTAGCGAAAATTTTATTTTTCAATATATTTATTTTGTTTGTACAAAATAAAGAAATAATTTTTAACGATACAATAGTCACAATTATTATTTTAAAAAGTTTACGTTAGACTTAACATCGACGAAAATTCAACGCAAAGCGACACGGAACAGAGAAAAATTTCAGGATGGGATAGGTTAATATATTTTTTCGTGCATAATCGGTTATCCGAACAACCCCAGTCCCCAATTGATTCGAATAAACGACGCTCTGCTGTATTTGTAGCACTGAATTCTTGAATTTTAAATTTAGGTGGCTTCATCAGTCTAACGCTAATCTGATGATATTTAACAAAAATTATAAAATTTTGATACCCAGAGTGAGAGTTTATAAAGTTTTCTCTGTTTGAAGTTAATTTGAGTATATTAATAAAAAATTATGAAAGATAAATAATAGTAACTGCCAGTGATGATGATGCTAATGCTGATTGATGCAAAATTGAGAGTACTAAATATCAGTAATTTTTTTGAGCCAATTTTTTTGTTGGTTGTCAAAATCAATTATTTGGGCTAATTGTAGATGCTATTAGCTTGATTTTACTGTCTGTATATTAGTCTTTGTGGTATGCCTGTTTAAGTAGGTAGTTTAAATTATAATATGCTTATATTTAAGTTTTAAAAGAAATTCCTTAAATCTTGATATGAATTTAGCTCTGACTTCTCAATATATTATTGATTGGTGCAAAAATGTTATATATAAAACAAATTGGTTTTCTTATAAAAATGTTGTTTTATACTATAAGTATATTCAAATAAAATTTGAATTTATTATTGGTTTGCAAATACAGTAGAGCATCAATTATCCGAATCAATTGAGGATTGGGGTTTGGAAAATCGATTTTTCGGATAACCGATTATGTGTGTAAAAATATATTAACCTATCCCATGTTGTAATTTGTTCAAATCCTGGCACATCCTTAAGTACCCGCTCATGGTTGCACCAGTGCTGCACACCAACAATAATAATATTGAAGTAGCCCAAGATATAGCCAAAGATTGCCATGCCACAGCACTAGCAGAAATTTAAATTTGCCAACTGGAAAGCTTTCGGTTGATCGACATTTGGATAATCGATGCTCTACTGTATTTATGAATTGTTATGTAAAAGTTATATATGTGGTGAGATAAGCTGTTATTTTATGTTTAACTGAAGACTGTTGAGACTTAATTGTTGTTTCTTGTAAAATTAAGAGATTTAACTGATACTGAGTATTAGTATATTGAAATCTGCTTGTTTTATAAACTGTTCATTTTTAATAGTATAGATATAACCATATCAATATATACAATAGGTGTACAGAATGATTCCGATATGCCAATTTATTGAATTGGTATCAGTAAGTAGCTTTACTTAAAATGTTGATAAACATCTGAAGTATAGTTAAATGGTGATAGTTGAAGAACCTTTTCTGATTAACTCCAGTTTTATATATATAAACAATTTTGTATATTTTATTTATCTCATATATATATATATCTCTATCAGATAAATAAAATATACAAAATTGTTTGTTGTGATCAACAAAACAAATCTGACTAAGATAGTGGTGATTTCTGTATAAATATATTTATAACAGTATTATTTTTATATGAATATTTGCCACAACCTGTTAACAGTTTGATAGTTTGTGAATCACATTCATACCAAATAAAATCTCTAAATATTTCCATAAATGTTGTTCTTCACTTTACAACACTCACTTATGGAAGGAATAAAGATTTGGAATTATTTTCAAATTTGATAAATAAATGTATTTATTTTATTTTAAATCAGTTTATAATTTTTACATATTATTTTTTAAATCTCTCATGTGAATAGCCTTAATAGAAAGCTTATTTACATTCATTTTTGTAAGTACTCTGTATTCTAATATTTTTAAAAGATTTCACTCTGGACAGAGCTGATTCACAAAGTATGTTCATAGATTGTCACAACTGCACAATTATAGGAAGGAATTGATCAAAGACAGACTATTAAATAAATAGGATTATTGTATTGTAATTATATAAAGAGTATACTAATATAAACAGTAAATATTAAGTAATTATTTAATGTTTATGGTTGCCTATATTTTCCAAAACTTTTGGAAATTGAAAATATTGATATTTATGGATTTTGTTTTCTATAAGGCTAGGATGTTACACTTCGAATTAGCAGTAATGTTTTTATTTTCTCATAATTTAAAAATATGAGAGTAACTATTTTTGTATATAATGTGAAAATTTAATGTTATAATACATCAATTATAACTATCAATATTTAAATTTTTTTTAATTCTGCATTTTATATGACTTGTTATATTTCACTTTAGTTGTCTGTGATGATGTAATTTGCGTCTCAGTGCTTGGAAGTGACATTTGCCTGATGTCATTTGATCTTCCTTTGCAGTCAGTGCAGATAGAACCTATCTGAGATAACTAAATGCAAAAAATTTACTTTAATGTAAATTTCAAATAAATTTTGCAAAATTATGTGCAGAATAAATCTTATTTACCATTTAATATTTGATTAATGAAAGTGTCATGTTTTAAAGATCTTTTATTGATTTTAAGTATTTTGTTTATAGTTATCCAAATCTGAAGGTTGTTCGTGAACTTATATATAAGCGAGGATTTGGAAGAGTAAGTCATAGAAGAGTACCTCTCACCGATAACTCTATAATTGAACAAAGACTAGGTGAGATTTTCTTTGTATATAAATGATCAGAATTTTAACATATGTTAATAAATAAAGTATTTTCAGATTTAATCTAAAATGTTTAAAAAAAATCTATTTGTGAAGTGTTTAAATTGTCGTTTTATATATTAATATAAAAATTTTAATGAAATGAATTAACTTCAGTAGTCAATGGTTTTTTTTCATAATGGAAAATTAATTTTCAGGAAAGTATGGAATCATCTGTATGGAAGATTTGATTCATGAGATTTATACAGTTGGACCTCATTTTAAGAAGGCCTCAAACTTTTTATGGCACTTTAAATTAAATAATCCTAAAGGTGGCTGGAGAAAGAAAACCGTTCATTATGTTGAAGGAGGAGATTTTGGAAATCGTGAGGAGAATTTGAATGTTCTTCTGAAGAAAATGATTTAAGTGATTTAATAAAAAAAAGGTGTACATGGAAAATATTGTTTGGTTTTAATTATTTACTGTCTTAAATGGATTTAAATATTGTCAATTTAATAGTAATTAAAAATATAAAATTTTTACATTTCAATCAAACAATTAATTATATCTGATATTACTAAATTTGAATATAGTTAAAAAATACAGTTAATTTACAAAATTACAAATCAAAGTTGAAACCAAAAATTAACAAGAATGATTATAAATTTCAGTAATATTAATTTTTAATAATCCATATTGTAATATTCTTAACCATTATCATATATTTGCATCATCCAGAGATACAGTATTGTTTTTATTTAGAGGAGATTCATCTTTATAAGTACTGTGAAAAACTAATCTGCAGAGATTTTAATCTAACTTGTAAGTAATGTATATTGGGATAATTATTTAATTGATGAAGTTGAAAAATAAAAACTACTAGAAAGATTGATAGCTCAATTTAGTCTTCAAATATAAATTTTATGGATTAGTACATCTTGTTCATGGATTTAAATCTGAGGCTAAATTTATCGAGATCATAAATAGACCAATTAAATCTGAATAAAAATAACGATTAATGTTAAAATACAGTCGACCCCCGTATAAGATCATTGATTATTCCGTTTTATATGAATTCCATGTTGTACAAGTCACTTANTCACAATTTTCGGGACGTTTTTTTATTCTTTAAGGTTTAGCGAGTCCCTAATTCGTGCTTGTGGGTCCCCCCCCCTTTTCGTCGGTGCGGACTTACTTTTTTCTGCTCGGGAAGCGCAAGTGTGCGCGAGTTTTTCTACAGCGCTTTTCTTTTGTCGGTGAGTTGGTTTTTCTTCTATTTTTTTTAAGTTACTAAGGTGAATGGTGAGGAAACCTTCGTCCTAACAAAACATAAGCCCCAAACAAAAAATAGAATAATAAGCAAAATAAAAGTAAATAAAAATAACGTTCGGACTCGGTTCCTTACAGGCTGACATTTGGTCCTGCAGCAAATGACTGATCGAACAGTGGGAAAGACTCATACTTTCTAAAGCACATTCCTCAAGAATTCCAGCTTAACCTATTTGATGTTGAATATTTTCTTTGTCGCATGTCGCTCCACGTTGAATATTTTTCGATGTTAAGCCTAACACGATCATACGTTTTAGAAAAATAATAATTGTGGCTATCATATTATTCCGAATTACTTTATATTTCTTACACACAAAATAGGCATATTAGGGAATGTAAAATATTTATTTTAAAAGTTAATTTTAGGGTGATATATCTGAAAACAAGGTACAACACACAGTAGAACATTACACTGTACAGTACACATTGATAATGTGATTCTGCACGTTTTTTGTTAGCCGAACATACTTTACATACTCTGGATGGATGCTTTTTTTTCTCTGTAGGTGGTATGAGACTAGGAAAATGCCATTCGGATAAACATAACAGATTTTCATGTGATGGTCAACAGCAGCGGGGTAGGTGTCTGCTTGTGTGATAGAGAAGTATCACACAAGCAGACATTTACTTAGCTTCTCTGATTACAGACGTACAAAAATCTAGAAATGATATTTGTTTTTTCGTATGTTTTTGATATAAAATACAAGCATTATATAATGTAATATCCATCATATGAAAAAAAAAACTTTTGTACCATTTTACTGTTTTTCTCATGCACAGATAATTGTGTATTACTCTGTCACAGAGATCAATACCACCCATGTTGTGATTATAATCCAAAATACAATTTGGTTTCCTTATTATTTCCCCAGATCTGTCACATTTACCCGAATCAGAGAATTTGTTGTTACTCATCATACTTAGAATTGCCACATCCCCTTTGTCTTTTCAGCAGAACACAGACAATTCATCTTTCTGACAGGTGATAAATTCCCCTTCTTTCAATTTATGATCAGGAAAATTACGTGACATGCCTATCCGCGTACAGTTCCACGTATATAAGTTTTTTTGTCTGGAAGTGTTTTCGCTAAGGTCGGTGAGGTAAAAATCCTATCAAAAACACCTTGTGATATTTACCGAACAACAGTTCTAATAAGGTCAGCACAACCTTCTCTCCTTGCCAACCTTCAAAATTTCCATATTCAGTAGTAGCTCCGGTATAAACTATAAAGTCCCAAACATATCCTGTTTGTGACTCACAAATTTCGAAGCTTTTCATTCCAAAACGAGCATGCTTATTCGGTATGTATTGCCTAAATCCCAGTCTCCCTTTCCATAGCATAAGACTTTCGTCTACAAAGATATTTTCCTCTGGGAGATATGCATTTTTGAACTTGTGGCATAAATGATCGATAATACTGCATAATTTATGCAGTCGATCATCACCACCTGAGGTTTGATTATTGTCCATAAAATGCAGACAGGACAATAAAAGTTGAAAGTGGTTGCTCGACATCGCACTTGAAAAAAGAGTGTCAAAAAAAGATCTTTGATCGTAAAATACAGGCTTAGGTGTGGTTTTCTAATTATGCTTATGACCATTATAAGTCCTAGAAATTCTCTAATTTCTGGATTTGTCGTTGGTTTCCAGTTTTTTATCCGACTATTCTCTCGTAAATTGTCACAGTTTAGCAAACTATCACCATACCTGTTTGTTTCTGAAACAATCTTGTCGGCAAGTTCGTCATCGAAGAATATACTGAAACAGTCGAACAGTATAGCATCACTCTGTAGATTACATAGTATTCCTGATGGTCCCGTAAAACTGTTCACTTGAGGACGTCTGAAATTTGTACGAATCCATTCATTGTCCATCCCCAATCGTGGACGTTTAGCAGTATTACTTTGAGTATTGCCGTGTGATTTACCATCTACGAGTAGATGGTAAATCAGGATCAAAATCACCACTGTCATTACTTACATTTTGATCTGGTATGTAATCATCGTTGCTATCTGGAAATTCAGATTCATCAGAACATAAATTGAATAAATATTTGATAACTTCTGACTTATTTAGAGTGCTGTGTCTACTACTTGCTGCCATGTCGAAAGACAGAGACGAAGTGGTCTGATTTTCTTTGTGATTTCTAACAAAGAACTATTTTTAGAATTTCGATAACCTGCTGAGCAGAAACTAGTTAACATAACGGTTCTTCTGATATGCGTTACTTATTTCAAAACAACATACAAGTAGCGACATCTGATGTTTAAAAAACGTTCTGATGCAAACACAAAAATATTCGGGATTGCCCACGCAGGTCAATGAGGTCAACACGAATATTTTCGGGAACAACATTCAACGGGTTTGAATAGTGTTTCATATAAATGATCTCAAAGTCATTGAAGTGTTCTACCATCAATGCTGAACTCTATTTGGGAATATCTAGTGCTGAACTAGTCACAAAGTTTACTGGGCATTTTCAGTGCAACGATCCTTTAATACATAAACTTTATAGTGAATTGCTTACTCTGGTCTAAAGAAAATTCAGCATGATGAAGAGGAGAAAATGAGAAGTGCAGAAACTGCAGCACGACTTAAACAAAAGAAAATCATCTTTTAATTACAAATTTTTTTAACAAGAAATCAAAAAATGTACCTTGAAATAAATGGCATTTGAAATTTGACATGTTATATGGAGACACATTCTGGTAGTTATGTTTCTCTTCAATTTCCTTTGCTATATAACGGTAGGAACTTCGTACGGGGCACATGAAAACTTAATGCAGTCTTACTGATCACTTTTCTGAAGTATAAACTCAGCCTAACTATTTTCATATTTAATTTATTCAGTCTAGTTAAAAATCAATCTAATATCATATGCAATGTTATTGATACAAAATGTGTGTGTGTTTGTATGATTTTTTAATAGTCTTTTAGTTTACTTTAACACTATTAGCTTTTTTCAGTGTAAACTCTTTTTTTTCACTGCTATGACTGTTTTAAGCCCTGTTATTTAATTAAATTATAATTATTAAATTTAATACAAGATGGCACCTAACGGCTCCCTCTAGGTCAAATTAATTAGTAAATAAAATTATAATTGCCGAAAAATAGCCTGATCATATATGACAGTTGGTGTGGTTTTATACTAAGGAATCGGGTTTGGAAAGATGTTAGCACAGATACAGATGTTTAAATCTGTATCTGTGCTAATATTATAAAGAGGTAAAGTTTGTAAGTTTGGATGTAGGAGGTAATCTTCGAAACTACTCATCCAATTTCAAAAATTCTTTCACTAATATTTAGAATGGCAGCCTATGTCCACCTTCGGGGTGGACATAGGCTGTCATTCTAAAGTTCTATTATTATATAAATGTCTATTATTCTGTTAAACATTCATATAAATTAAAAGACATCATCTAGGTAAGCGTTATATTTTTGGTGTCAGCGGGTGGAGAGGGGCAAGACGCATATGTATACGAGGTAGGTGACTGCGCGGTACAGTCACGTGGTCAGTGAGATATGCAGTGTACATGTTTGAACTTGTGCTGAACATTTGCCTATTTGTTGTTGCTTAAAATAATGAATATCTTTTGTCCCATATGCGTTCCTAAAATATTCATATAAATTAAAAGATATCATCTAACTGATACTGTTATAGTCACAAATTGAATTCCATACGGGCGAAACTGTGGGCATGGCTAGTGCTTTATATTTTGATCAACCCTTTATTTTTGGTTTATTATATTTCAGTATATTAAACCAAAAGCCTAACATTTGCAGTGTCATTAGGGAAAGCCTATACATGCATATTTTGTATGTTGTATAAGGCTTGTGTGTTGGTTATTTTTTATTGCTGAATCATTTAGCTATACTATTGTTCTCCTTTATAATGTACTTTGTTTTCCTTCAGTAACATTAAATAATAATTTTTTTGTAGTTTTTTTCATTAATAATATGTTTTATTTAAAATGCAATATAATTTTTATTTATATGATATTTAATCTGTCTCTTCCATTCATTTATTCTTAAAATATTAACTTATATTCAATTAATTCAAAAAATTTAAAAATTTTTATTTATATGTTGTTAAAGTCAAATTGTGTATTATTTTCAGTATAAATGGTGTGAGTCCAAAACCACGTAAGGTATTGCAGTTATTTCGTTTACGCCAGATCAACAATGGAGTGTTTATTAAATTAAACAAGGCTACTATTAATATGCTTCGTATTGCAGAACCTTACATTACTTGGGGGTATGTATAATTCAATTTTGTTTTCATTTACAATACATATGTTATAAATTATTGATATGAAATTTTTGTATTTTTATAATTTTTGACTGGTCAGAATTAATTAGTTCAGTTTAATCAAGAATTTATTTTGAGTAAAAATGAAGGATCAGAGAGAAAAACAGCTTATGTCCTTTCTATTTTTATACAGTGATACCCCAAACTTATGCGATAGGTGGGACCGAGCGATAACCGTGTAAGTCGGGGTATAATTTCGCAATTTGTGTAAAACCCAAGTTGGATGTATGTAAGCTGATAAATGTTCTCGTTAATCTTATCTCGTCTTTTGATTCGTTCACAGTTAGAAGAAATCACCACATAGAGTTTCTCAAGTCTCCGTAGATACAACAAACACAGAAATAAATAACACAAAATAAATTGTGGCTATGTGTCGATTCCACACGACACGTCTGAACATGTAAGCCGAACAATAGTGTGGAGGGATTGAGTAATCAAGAGTTGCTTGGTGCTCAAACAAAAGACGAATTGACGAGATTTGAAAATCGCGTAACTCCGGGTTCGTGTAAGTCGAGGTATTACTGTATTTTGTGCACATTGATAATTGAAAATTAATACTAAATATTAATTTTACTAAAAAATATAGAATTGTACTCAGCAAATTATTTAATGATTTGAGAATTAATGATAGAAGAATTTGGACTTAATAAATTTTCCTAACTTTATTATTCATATTATCAACTGATAACATGAATAATAATTAATGTCAGGAAGTTTAGTAAAATAATTATCTAGGTTCTTCTAAGTTAAATTTATTTATTCCAAATTAACTAGTTTTAATGTTATCAATATATGATATATCTACAGTAGAGCGTGGGTTATCCGAAAGAATTCCAGTTAGCAAATTTTAATATTCACTAGTGCTGTGGCGCTAGCGAAAATTTTATTTTTCAATATATTTATTTTGTTTGTACAAAATAAAGAAATAATTTTTAACGATACAATAGTCACAATTATTATTTTAAAAAGTTTACGTTAGACTTAACATCGACGAAAATTCAACGCAAAGCGACACGGAACAGAGAAAAATTTCAGGATGGGATAGGTTAATATATTTTTTCGTGCATAATCGGTTATCCGAACAACCCCAGTCCCCAATTGATTCGAATAAACGACGCTCTGCTGTATTTGTAGCACTGAATTCTTGAATTTTAAATTTAGGTGGCTTCATCAGTCTAACGCTAATCTGATGATATTTAACAAAAATTATAAAATTTTGATACCCAGAGTGAGAGTTTATAAAGTTTTCTCTGTTTGAAGTTAATTTGAGTATATTAATAAAAAATTATGAAAGATAAATAATAGTAACTGCCAGTGATGATGATGCTAATGCTGATTGATGCAAAATTGAGAGTACTAAATATCAGTAATTTTTTTGAGCCAATTTTTTTGTTGGTTGTCAAAATCAATTATTTGGGCTAATTGTAGATGCTATTAGCTTGATTTTACTGTCTGTATATTAGTCTTTGTGGTATGCCTGTTTAAGTAGGTAGTTTAAATTATAATATGCTTATATTTAAGTTTTAAAAGAAATTCCTTAAATCTTGATATGAATTTAGCTCTGACTTCTCAATATATTATTGATTGGTGCAAAAATGTTATATATAAAACAAATTGGTTTTCTTTATTAAAATGTTGTTTTATACTATAAGTATATTCAAATAAAATTTGAATTTATTATTGGTTTGCAAATACAGTAGAGCATCAATTATCCGAATCAATTGAGGATTGGGGTTTGGAAAATCGATTTTTCGGATAACCGATTATGTGTGTAAAAATATATTAACCTATCCCATGTTGTAATTTGTTCAAATCCTGGCACATCCTTAAGTACCCGCTCATGGTTGCACCAGTGCTGCACACCAACAATAATAATATTGAAGTAGCCCAAGATATAGCCAAAGATTGCCATGCCACAGCACTAGCAGAAATTTAAGTTTGCCAACTGGAAAGCTTTCGGTTGATCGACATTTGGATAATCGATGCTCTACTGTATTTATGAATTGTTATGTAAAAGTTATATATGTGGTGAGATAAGCTGTTATTTTATGTTTAACTGAAGACTGTTGACACTTAATTGTTGTTTCTTGTAAAATTAAGAGATTTAACTGATACTGAGTATTAGTATATTGAAATCTGCTTGTTTTATAAACTGTTCATTTTTAATAGTATAGATATAACCATATCAATATATACAATAGGTGTACAGAATGATTCCGATATGCCAATTTATTGAATTGGTATCAGTAAGTAGCTTTACTTAAAATGTTGATAAACATCTGAAGTATAGTTAAATGGTGATAGTTGAAGAACCTTTTCTGATTAACTCCAGTTTTATATATATAAACAATTTTGTATATTTTATTTATCTCATATATATATATATCTCTATCAGATAAATAAAATATACAAAATTGTTTGTTGTGATCAACAAAACAAATCTGACTAAGATAGTGGTGATTTCTGTATAAATATATTTATAACAGTATTATTTTTATATGAATATTTGCCACAACCTGTTAACAGTTTGATAGTTTGTGAATCACATTCATACCAAATAAAATCTCTAAATATTTCCATAAATGTTGTTCTTCACTTTACAACACTCACTTATGGAAGGAATAAAGATTTGGAATTATTTTCAAATTTGATAAATAAATGTATTTATTTTATTTTAAATCAGTTTATAATTTTTACATATTATTTTTTAAATCTCTCATGTGAATAGCCTTAATAGAAAGCTTATTTACATTCATTTTTGTAAGTACTCTGTATTCTAATATTTTTAAAAGATTTCACTCTGGACAGAGCTGATTCACAAAGTATGTTCATAGATTGTCACAACTGCACAATTATAGGAAGGAATTGATCAAAGACAGACTATTAAATAAATAGGATTATTGTATTGTAATTATATAAAGAGTATACTAATATAAACAGTAAATATTAAGTAATTATTTAATGTTTATGGTTGCCTATGTTTTCCAAAACTTTTGGAAATTGAAAATATTGATATTTATGGATTTTGTTTTCTATAAGGCTAGGATGTTACACTTCGAATTAGCAGTAATGTTTTTATTTTCTCATAATTTAAAAATATGAGAGTAACTATTTTTGTATATAATGTGAAAATTTAATGTTATAATACATCAATTATAACTATCAATATTTAAATTTTTTTTAATTCTGCATTTTATATGACTTGTTATATTTCACTTTAGTTGTCTGTGATGATGTAATTTGCGTCTCAGTGCTTGGAAGTGACATTTGCCTGATGTCATTTGATCTTCCTTTGCAGTCAGTGCAGATAGAACCTATCTGAGATAACTAAATGCAAAAAATTTACTTTAATGTAAATTTCAAATAAATTTTGCAAAATTATGTGCAGAATAAATCTTATTTACCATTTAATATTTGATTAATGAAAGTGTCATGTTTTAAAGATCTTTTATTGATTTTAAGTATTTTGTTTATAGTTATCCAAATCTGAAGGTTGTTCGTGAACTTATATATAAGCGAGGATTTGGAAGAGTAAGTCATAGAAGAGTACCTCTCACCGATAACTCTATAATTGAACAAAGACTAGGTGAGATTTTCTTTGTATATAAATGATCAGAATTTTAACATATGTTAATAAATAAAGTATTTTCAGATTTAATCTAAAATGTTTAAAAAAAATCTATTTGTGAAGTGTTTAAATTGTCGTTTTATATATTAATATAAAAATTTTAATGAAATGAATTAACTTCAGTAGTCAATGGTTTTTTTTTATAATGGAAAATTAATTTTCAGGAAAGTATGGAATCATCTGTATGGAAGATTTGATTCATGAGATTTATACAGTTGGACCTCATTTTAAGAAGGCCTCAAACTTTTTATGGCACTTTAAATTAAATAATCCTAAAGGTGGCTGGAGAAAGAAAACCGTTCATTATGTTGAAGGAGGAGATTTTGGAAATCGTGAGGAGAATTTGAATGTTCTTCTGAAGAAAATGATTTAAGTGATTTAATAAAAAAAAGGTGTACATGGAAAATATTGTTTGGTTTTAATTATTTACTGTCTTAAATGGATTTAAATATTGTCAATTTAATAGTAATTAAAAATATAAAATTTTTACATTTCAATCAAACAATTAATTATATCTGATATTACTAAATTTGAATATAGTTAAAAAATACAGTTAATTTACAAAATTACAAATCAAAGTTGAAACCAAAAATTAACAAGAATGATTATAAATTTCAGTAATATTAATTTTTAATAATCCATATTGTAATATTCTTAACCATTATCATATATTTGCATCATCCAGAGATACAGTATTGTTTTTATTTAGAGGAGATTCATCTTTATAAGTACTGTGAAAAACTAATCTGCAGAGATTTTAATCTAACTTGTAAGTAATGTATATTGGGATAATTATTTAATTGATGAAGTTGAAAAATAAAAACTACTAGAAAGATTGATAGCTCAATTTAGTCTTCAAATATAAATTTTATGGATTAGTACATCTTGTTCATGGATTTAAATCTGAGGCTAAATTTATCGAGATCATAAATAGACCAATTAAATCTGAATAAAAATAACGATTAATGTTAAAATACAGTCGACCCCCGTATAAGATCATTGATTATTCCGTTTTATATGAATTCCATGTTGTACGAGTCACTTAGATTTTACAAATACGTGTACCGGGCTGTGAACGGCTCACGTATTTGTAAAATTTAAGTGACTTGTACAACATGGAATTCATATAAAACGGAATAATCAATGATCTTATACGGGGGTCGACTGTACCAGATTGAACAAATACTTCAGTCTTTGAGTATTTGTTAACATCAGAGTATGTTAAAATATGTTAATTTCGAACCTCCAATTTTTCCTAAGTTTGACGGGAGAATCTTTGAACAGTGCCTTGAGTCAATAAGTTGCTTTTTTATTTTGATTATTTCCATCCTGTGGGCACTAAAAAAATTTTATTTTTATCACCCAGTGTTGGTTTGGCCAGGCTACAATGTTGACAGTTGGGTGATGAGGAATGGATTGCAAGGAAGTTCTTTTTTAACTCCATCCCTGTGGGCACTAAGGGCCTTGTAGCGAGCCCATTATGGGTTCGGTCAGGCCGACAATGGAGTGGCTGGATGGTGAGAAGGAATGATGACCAGTGCTATACTATTATCAATACTTACATATATTAATAGGGACACGTTTGGAAATTCTAACTGGTAACATGTAATCGGTTATTCCGGGTGATTAGGGCATTTTTAAACACTGGTTATTTTGCGGTGTTCAACCAATACCACCTAGAAAACAAGGCTTCATGACAACGTCAAGCATAGATCATTGCCATCCATACTGATGAATCGTGTCTAGAAAAGTAAATGATATATGCAAAAATGATTTTTAAAATGTTTTTACATATAATTTGCAAATTTTCTTTCAAACTAAAAAGCATTGATGTCAGAATGATCAGTTATTTTAAAATAAGGACTGATAGGTGTCTTTCAAATATCAGTCTGTGGAAATAATCCAACATAGATTCTTAACCTTTATTATACAACTGTAATTGCAGGTAATAAATTGTAACTTTTAACAGCTGCTATGTAAAAGTAAATTAACACAACTAAAACAAAGTATCTGTTTTTTATGAAATTTGTCATTAAAAAAATCTCTTATTTGTGAAAGAAAAAAAAACTTTTAATTCAGAATAAACAAAAATGCTTTGTTCCTCAATTGAAAGAATCGTAGTTTTAAAATAAAGTATTTTACAATTATATTTACAATATATACAATTCATATTATAACTTTAGTGTATCTTCAAAATAAACAGATTTTAGAAAAAATATTTTTTACTGTTTAGAGACCAAAGGATACTTAAACTATTAAGTAATCTCATATCTTAAATTGTGGCATATTGCTTTTGGCTGTAAAATCATTCTTTTTCTTACTATAATTATTTAACAAGATATTTGCAGCAATGTGTACAATATGTTTTTAGAGGTCAGCAGCTACATGTGAATGACAGTAGTGTCCGACAAAAATTTTATAAGGTTTTTTCCCAGCAAGGTCAATGACTATATTTCTCTGATTTGGCTGTAGAAAAAAACATGCTCTAGATTTTTATTCGGAAGTTTGTGTATGATGATATACACATGGGCAATGCAATAGATGACATCTTTACTTGGATAGCAAAAAATCACCCTATCAGATGATGATATTAACCTTTCAAAAAAAAAAAAAAGCATAAATTTTTCATCATCTCCTTCACTTAAAATTAAAAGGAACACTTTACAATTCGCTTGTGCCAACGATAATTTGACACCTAGCGGTATTAGCGAGAACTACATGATGGCGGCTGCTATGGTTATAAACTCTGTGGTCTGTTAGAATTAGAAATTCAACCTACAATGGTAAATAATAAGTATTCCTGTATATTTGGATTTAAGTCTAAAGGTTCACCAAATTCAGTACATATGCACACATTCCCAAAAGATAAATTACTGCAAAAAAAGGGTGAAACTGAAGTGATAACATCAGTTTTATTTAACACCTAATTTTGCTGAGAAAATTCTTGGACAATTCGTCACAACGATACAATGTGTCCGCCATCTTATAATTTAATAGAACCGCTATAACCGCTTTGTCACCGTGATTACTTCGGTAAGTACGTACCTCAGGACAACTGGTGATGTCATAACTGTGATTTTTAAACGCGGCTCAGGTTAATTTTATAAACGCTTCGGTAATTACGTATCAGCAGTTACCGGTAACACTGGTTAAAATTTCCAAACGCGCCCATAGAGTGGCTGAAGCAACGCCATGTTTAAAGAAAATTCAATACACGTCCGCCATTTTCCTTTTAATCAAGGGGTGTGTCATTTGTGTTCTGTAAAGGCAACGAGTTAGAATACAGTCGATCCCCCTATAAGACGGTAGATACGTTCTTTATGAATCAATTTTGTAGGAATCGCAGCCCGACAAGTGTGAAGTTTACGGAATACGACTGTTTGAAAGGTTTTCTTCCATAAAATTAATCGATTCTAGACTAATCCGACTCAACATTTCTAAAATACGTATATATTTTTTGGAAATAATCCGTATAAACTACGCTATAAACAAAAAATTGTAGAATTACTTACCGAGTGTGCACCATTCGACATCGCCGTTGCTCAAGCTTGTTTTCGTCGCGGAACAGCGCAGCAAACCGCGGCCACGATTTCTGATGTTATTTTTCTGCGAAAACTTCGTTCAACTTTGGAGACATCATTAATATAAATAATTTTAATCGCCGTTGAATAAGAAATGTTTCTTTCACAAGAAATGTATAAAATTACAGTACTGTATTAGACTTACGGTACC